CAGTCCGATAAGTACTTAGTCTACAAAAAAATCGAAAATGTTGGAAAAGTGGCGATTTATTTCTCACCCTAGTCTCCTTTTAGCTCGATGCGTTTACTGCAGGTCTGCAAAGTAGGCCTCATTCGACTCAAATATCTGCCAGCCGAGTGAATTTTTCAAGTTTTGAAACAAAAAGAAGTCGCACAGGACCAGATCGGGAGAATACGGTGGATGGGGCAGCAGTTCATAGCTTAATTCGACCAATTTGGCAAGATGTGAGCCGTTGTCATGGTGGAAGAACACTTTTTTCTTGGCCAAATGAGGCCGTTTTTATGCAATTCGATATCGAATCGGTCTAATAATTCGGCCGTTTTGCCCTTCTCCAGGTACTCGATGTAGATCACAGCTTGCGAATCCCAGAAATCGCTGGCCATCACATTTCCGGCCGATAGGACAGTCTTCGCCTTCTTCGGAGCACGTTCGCCGGGTGAAGTCTACTGTTTTGACTGTTCCTTGGTCTCTGGTGTGTACTAGTGGATCTATGTTTCGTCGACAGTCACGAAACGACGCAGAACCTCCTTCAGATTGCGTTTAAACAGCGTCAAACACTGCTCTGAAGTGGTCTCACTGTTGCGCTTGTTGTCTCGTGAACCTTCAGTCGGCATTCTGCCAATTCGAGATCGAGGATTTTTGTCAAGTTATCCTCGTGGTAGCCGTTTTCGGGGCACTTGGGCGTGGTTCATCAAAAATCGACGTGCGACCACACTGAACCTCGTTAAACCAATTTTTGACGGTCGCCATCGAAGGAGAAGAGTCACCGTACACAGCACCCAAGCGCTCTTTGATTTCGCTGCGCGATTTCCCTTCCAAAAACAATAATCGAAACACCGACCGATATTGGTCTTTTATTTTTCTAAAATCCGCGGACACAGCCGCTTCCACACGCGGTCAAAACAAAACTGCGAGTCCAATTCGGCTGAAATTTTAACACGGTGGTAAATGTCTGCTGCGATAGTGGCGCCATCGGCCGGTGAGGCTAAGTACTTATCGGGCCGCCCTCGTATCTAGTAGAGTCACAATCTTATGGATAGTATCTCGGCAACATGGTGGAAAATATAAAGCTACTCACAACATGGTAAAAGCGCGGGAGAATGCAACTAACATGAAGGTACTAGTGAAAATCTGTCAACCTTCGTTGGATTGGCATTTTTAGTTTGACATTCTACATAACTCGACTAACTGTTGCCAGGTTGTCAGTTGTATTTCTTGCTGTATTTGGGATACAAAGCTGCCAGTGTCCAGCTGGTAAGACACACTAGACATTTCTTGTGAAGGTATCGCCTCATGTTATACAAATAAGAATTATTTCAGTAACTGGCATAGTGCATAACTTACGTTAATCATGGAGTTAGTGGCAATCCTAAACAGCGTGGCTCTCTCGCACACTTCCTTGGTCTTGCCCTGTATCGCTTCTGGATCCGCATTGGTCTCGATTTCGCTGAGCGGCTTTGCCAGAGTCTTCCAATGCTTGGCCAACACGTCACCACATGTCTGTAGATCATTCAACTTCGATTCCAGTTTGTGCACCAGTCCCGTCCAGTCCTCGCCAGCTTCAGATTCCAATGTCTCTTCTTCGTCTTCTTCAGATTCCATATTCCTACTGTAAAGATAAAATAACATTCAATTTAATTTGAGGCTCATCTAAAAAATAGTTATGTTAAAGCCACTTGGCACACATTATGCAATATTTTTTTTGTGATGTTTTATTATCATTACATAAAGCCTCTTCTCCATACTGATCCACGTTAGGCCAATATATGCCACCTGCAATGTATACGTAAATCAACTAGGATGTCTCATACACTAAACCTCAATAATGAATTATGCAGGCTCATCGAAGAATGGTCAATTTCTTGTGTTATCGACAAAAGATGGCGCGCATGTAATCGCGAGTTTCAAACAGGGTGAGTTTTTAGTGTGGGCTCGACCGATAACTCTGTTATTACTCATGATCTAAAAAAGTTACATACAAAAATTGTAACTATACTACAACTATTTAAAACTGTAATGACTCATACGCGTGATCAACACGTGATCAGAGCTCGATCCCGGCTTCCTTCCAGTACAGCCGTATAGCGTACGACATATGTCGTTTCTGTGGCTTTGCGGTGGTCAACAGCACAGACAGAGATGGAAATAATAGCTGATTGTTCTCCGCCGGTAGAACCAATGAAATCAAAGACGCGCCTCGACCAGCAGACTCATAGGCGTCGGCAACGCATTGGAACGTGTTTCGTTGAGCGATCGCGCATTGTGTGTTTTTATAAGAATTGTTGTGTGATTGTTATTGTTGTGGTTTCTGTGGTTACTGTTTTGGTTATACTTAACCATGGAGAGTACAAATGGCACGAGTGGAAGTACTGAAAGCCAGGGAACAAGTAGACGGCTTCGTAAAGCACTGAAGAGGGACGCGAAAAAAATCGTGCTCAACGTGTTCAATTATCTGAACAGAACTATGTCGCAGGGAGGTGCACTCGCGCGTTGTGAAAGTATGACAGGCGTTCCAGAGTGGACCATTCGCAGGGTGGTGCATGAAAAGAAGAAAACTGGAGCTACTACTGATCCAAAGTTTAATTTGAAGGGACGAAAGGCCGTTAAATTGGATGACGATAGCAAAATGGCGTTAAGGCGAACCGTACATTCATTCTTCTTTAGGAATGAGATACCAACCCTCAAGGCTGTACATGCAGGTCACACAGTTAAAAAAACCTGGATAGACAAAAACGTAGTGAGTAACCGACAAGCAAGCTTTGAAGGTTTGTCAACAGGTCTACGTGGACCGTCAGGGAAAGGTCAAAGATTGATCGTAACTCATATTGGTAGCGATAGTGGCCTTTTAGAAGAGTGTGACTTGATTTTCGTCTCTAAGAAAGGAGGTGATTACCATGACGAAATGAATGCCAGCTGCTTCGAGAGCTGGTTTCAAGGGGTGCTTCAGCGAGTTGAGCCCAACTCTGTGATCGTCATGGATAATGCTTCCTACCATAGTCGTCGAGTCGAACGTGTACCGACTATGGGATCTCGAAAAAGTGACATGCAGCAATGGTTGCGCGAAAAAGGAATCCCGTTTGACGATTCATGTGTGAAAGCGGAATTGTATGAAAAAATTAAACAGCACAAACCTGCGAACATTAGTTACGTGACTGATGAGATGGCCCGTCAATGTGGTGTCACTGTGCTGCGGTTACCGCCCTACCACTGTGAACTGAACCCAATAGAGCTCATCTGGGCTCAAGTGAAGGGTTATATTGCGCGCCATAACACAACCTTCAAATTACCAGACGTTAAGGTTTTACTTGAGACTTCCATACAGCTAGTAACGCCCGAAGCTTGGCAGAATGCTATCCGTCATGTTGTGAAGGAAGAAACAAAAATGTGGCAGCTTGACCACCACATCGACACCATCATAGAGCCAGTTATAGTCAATTTCAACGAGGAAAGCGATAGCGACAGTTTATTACTGTCAGATGTAAGTGGAAGCCACGATGAATAAAGGTAATTCCCAAATTTTTGACTTACAATATGTTTCAAACCACTCTTTATTAAGCATGTGACAAATCTAGTTCACCCATGTTAAACATTCATACCCCGCCTATGAACAGCCGACTACTGGTAGTTAAGTGATGTTCACGTGAACATCGATGAGTCATTACAGTTTTAGATAGTTATAGTATAACAGTATTTGCCTTGGAAAATGTTTTTATTTCTACAGGGTGATTCATAACTACGTGCAGACCCAAAGATACAATTTTTAAATAGAACCCTACATTTTATTGCAGATTGCAATAGGCTGTTTCAAACCAAGCAACTAGATATAACATACGGGTTTTATTTTCAATATATCAGAATCTATCAGTACCGAATTGTTCGTCAAAAAAATTGTATAATCCCATTGTTTGTCACAATTTACTTACTTTTTCATTTTCTTGGATTGTACAGGTTGGTCAACAAGACAAATTGATCTGTTTCACAAAATCAATGGAGCGGTCTGCATATCTTCAATTTTTTTTTATTCCTCTTTTCACAAGCTTTTTTCAGACATATGGTTTATGGGGGTTTGTACGGCTGATTTTTGAGTTACAAAAACACAGGGACAACTTCTTGATTTTTCGTCTTTATTGCATGAGTCTGATCGAATTTAATTTATAATGGCAATAAAACAATTCTAAAGATCTCTCATTGCTCATTAAATGCTATTTTTCATTTTTAAAGGTGTTGTATTATTTTTCATTCATATTGCTATCTGATTTACACAGATTTTAACTGTCGTACAAACCTCCGTAAACTTTAAATAAAAAAAAGCTTATAGAAAAGGGAATCAAGGGATGTGAAAACATACAGCGTGCTCCATTCAAAATTTTTGAGAAATCGGTCATTTTACGTTCTTGACCAACCTGTAGAAACTGTTCAAAAAAACTAAAAGTGGGAAGATAGGAACTAAATATGGGATCATAAAATTTTTCTGGCGAAAAAATCAGTAATCTAGCTGTAACAGTTGCAGAGGTGCAAGTTGTCAGAGTTGAGTGTTTGTTTTTTCGATAGTTTGCCCAATATCTCAAAGATTTGAAAATAAATAAGTTATATCAAATTGCTTGCGAGTATAAGCTATTCCAAACTTCGTAATTGGAGTTATTCAACTCTCTTAATCACTTGAAGAATTAGTGGACAATTTCAAGGGAATCAACATTTTTAAATTAGGCAGATCTCAGTTTTAAGATGTATTTTTCGCTCATAATAAGAGTTTTGTATATCATAAATTTTTATAGATAATTTGAAAATAAACGTATATCAGGCCGTGCGACTTTTTTTGCCAAGACTGGAAAGTTAGTATTAACCCGTAAGAATATTATTATCAAGATAAACTGACCGAATAAAAGGTTAGAGGCATTCTGTAATGAGGTCAACTTACACTGACTTAACGTATGTGCTAGCATTGTGTCCACTATAGTGGTCCAGTTTGGGTCATAGTGAAAAGCCAACTTTAATTATGCATATAACTCTATTAACAGATGATATTTAATTTTTTATAGGAGGGGATCTTTGCCATGCTCTTAGGGAACACTATTAAGTTCACTCAAGTAGGTTTATCAGCAAATCACAGATGTATAATATACACTTACATTGCTTTAGCTTTGGCGAGCTCCAAAGCAGTGACCCAAGATTGTCGTTCCACCTCCGACGCGGCCTTGATATGGAATGTCTGCGTGCCCCCGTTGGTGATGACGAAGGTGCAGGCGTCCACTGTGTAGATGAGTGCTCCATGCAGTGATATGCTGCCCCGACACGTATGCGCCATCTCTGCTTGGTTTCTGGAACAGGAAAAATAGCATAGCCTCATCTCTCCCTTGAACATTTAAGCTCAAGACTGAGAAATGACGCTTTCAAGTTTTTTGAGCAGTAAAAAAAATATATATCTATGGCGTTACAATTATTATGTACAAGAAACATAAAAAAATATCTACGATTGGCGAAAAAGTAGATTATAAGTAACATTAAAAATAATAAATGAACGTACTATTCTAACACCACCGCCTAACAATAAATAAAGACAGTCATCATATTGTGTTCGATACATAACAGGCGCCGAAGTTACTTTATCACCCTAGAGCATAAAGGAGTCCTTGGGACTTGACCACCAGAAAACATATTTATAAAGTACTCAGTCCCGTCCGGTCGTAGAAAAACAAATTTTTAATATCAACTGAATCTCCCCGTATCGTCACCAGTATCCAACAAAATTTTTTAATGAAAGCCCAAAATCTAGGCCAAGCTTTTGTAACTTGTCCAAATGAAAAAATGCCAGCATTGATCGAAATACCTGCACATAAAACCAAATAATTAGTATAGCACGATAATTATAGATTGCAAAATAGCGTCTGTTACAGCAGTATCTCCACAAAATGAGAGTGCACGCCTGTAATCGGAAATACTCAAAACAAATTAGCAGAAAGCTTTGTTATTCACACGAGCAGTTTTTAAGGTGCACTTCAATATCTCAGTGATACTTATTATATTGTATTTATTCCCATGCTATGAAAATATGTAGGAGTAGACCTAAATTTTTGTACAAGGGGTTTTAGCATTGTTTTTTTACAGTGCCTTATTTTTCATCGCATAGTCACTTTTTACACTCAATATCAAGTTGCATATTATGTTAATGTAAATACATACAAAAATATAAACAATTTATGCGGTGATAGTGTCATATCTCTTTTAGTGAAACTTAACATTGTTTACTGTATTACCATAACCTGCCACAGATAAGCAGGGTGCTTTAAATAATCAGTGAGATAATATGTGTTATTTCTTGAACCTTTTCAGCACATCTGAAATACATATTAAAATTTGATGGCAGCAAACCCGTAACCTTGATCCTGAATATATTACAAAGTTACTTCCGTGATGAGCATGACAACTTTGATAATACATTCGTTTGGAACCCAAAAACAAGCAAAAATAAGATTTTAGAATTCAAAATGTTCATTATATATGTTTAAAAACTAAAATTGAGTTTTTAGCTTTGAGTTCAAGATAGGCTGATGAAATATAGTTCTACTAAATTTGCCAACTAAACAAATAAACGTTAGGCACACCCATACTTTTTACATCGCCCAAAATTGTATCTATCTAATTTCAAGTTGGCATGCTCTCAAAAGTGTGTATGTAGACTAGTGATTTATTAGGCTTAAATTAGGTATTCCAACGGCAAAAGAAACTACAATAAGTACAAATTATTCCGCAAACGTAAATCACCTCTAGACGATACAGGTCTATCAAGGTAATTTTCGCACCGAGATACATCAATATGTACCACTGTATTGGAAAAAGGCAGGCTTGGGCGTCCAACGACTTGACTGTGTTTAGACGTTAGTCAGAAAAATGTTTTACTGGCATTTGAGCTGAACGTGTAAACAGAGTTAAGTTAGTAGGGCTGCTCTGTACTGTTACATACGTCACATGAAAACAGCATTTTATCAAGATAACTCAATTCTGAAATTTAGTAACAAAACGAAAACATGCCAATCAAAGCAAAATTCATTATTAATGGAAAAGCACAAATTCCTGCAATTACCACAAATAGGATAAAGCAAGTCGCTCAGAAATGGATGATTAACATATACAGGGTGATCCAAAATAATCACGCATTTCCTAGCACTGTATGTCAAAAACAAGCTATATTGACACGAATTCGTTACCATCTAAAAACTATTTCATCATTACTGTGTGAATTCAAGAATTGCAGCACAAAACCAAAGTTTTTGAGCTGCCTTTAGTGCCTGTCATCACTGTGGTTTTTGCAGTAGCAGTTACTGCTAATAATCGCGGCTTCTACAGTTATGAGGCCGAAGCATTCATTACGGTAGTGTTGGATCGAGATACAAAGAGATCAAATGGATGCACTGGCCTGTTAACCGAAGTCGGTCGTTGCAGTAATGACACTTAACTTCAACATTACTATGCATATTTACTTCAAATCACCATATATAAGTAAGCGAGACTCCGTGATCAACCACACCAATACCACACTTTTAAATACACACATAATGTAACCCGAGAGAGGACAAATGACGAAACGAGTATATGTTGTGCAGGGCCAGAAACCATGTTTTTTTTCTTTGTCACTCTACTTACCCATGTCTGAAGCGTCTGCGTCGTCTAACTGTCAATGTTGTCACCCCCACTCCGTTATTTTCGGCCCTGCGCAACAATATAAATTTTTAATCGATTTTTTGCTTGATCCATGATGGCAAGTTGGTGTATTACAACAATGATCTAACTATATGATGCGCTACACTGGCGAAATAATGCATTAGAATAACTTAGTTTTGGTGACCTGGTCACCACTAGTTTAAAAAAAGTCCGGGTTTATTAGCATTCATTCACTAATTGAAAAACTTTGTTAAGATATTACTTACCGACAAAGAGACGGTCATGAAACGTATTATTTATTGGGTGTTTCCTAAATGAATGACGGTATATAAGGTGGCGATTTTTTTATCTATTTTAAGAAGAAAACTTCGAATAAACGTATGTTCTACGCCTCTTAATTTTGATATACACGCCACTGACTTTTCTTGGAATGATATTGGTTATGCATAGGAACGGTTTTTATGTTTTTAAGGGAAAACCGTACATAGGATTGAAAAAAATCAAGCAATCAAATTTGCTTAGAAACGATTGGTGATTTCATGAATAATTTTCATTATAAGAGAAACCAGTGGCTTTTCATCAAATTAGCCAGGTACAGTTCCGTACGAACGCAACTGGTTGGAAATTAAACACATTAATAAATAAAAAAATGCCTGCAGACACATAGTACATGTATGCCAAATTTTATTACAGTATCTCAAGATATTAATAATAAATTATTTATTTTTGAAAACTTTCTCACAGTCTATCTCAAAAGTTAGGACGTTTAGGACATGTTTTCATATGAAGTTTCCTCCTTAAAACGAATTAAAAAATCGTACCTTTTAATGTCGATATTAAATTACGAAACACCCTGTATATTAGTTTCCTGTTGTCAAGCGCATTCTTAATGAGGAAGTTTGAATGATAATACGTGTACATTGTACACCGTAAAAAAGCATTATATATTATAAGATATGGCATCAAGCAGATAGATTAAAAATTTCAAGTAGTTTCAAAATCAAGTAGATAAATGAGGAAAAACTAAAATCGCCGGGATTAATAAAAATCATATATATTATCCCCATCTATTCTGCACCGCTCGCAATGCATTGAACTTCAAATTACAGTGTTTTTAACAGCTATCTACGCCCAAAACACCATTCCCTAAAAGTAATAAAAATACGTGCAGCAGTTGTCGAGATTGACTGGAATGAATTGATAAAATGTCAAGATTCGTCATATTTAAAATGTGTTATAATGATACGTTCTCTTCTATATACATAATATATGTTACACTTTTAGAAGGCGTTAATGGCCCATAACTTACAAAGTGCAGAACCGATTTTTTTTGTATCTTTATTACTCCTGTAAAAAGTATACAATAAAAACTAAGAGATATAGGCATATCATTAAATGTTAATAGTTTCTACAAGCTGATCATCACAAAAAGAAACTGTCTAAGTTCTATACTATAAAAGCAATATTACCTGGTGCAATCTAAAAATCTACAGAAACTTCATTCACAGAGCTACCCAAGCCAAGGATAAGTCTGGTGTTGGAGACTTGAATAGTGTTGTTTAGAAATGACCTTAGTAAAAGTTGATCTGTAACAGCTCCAGAATTTTGTGACGAGTTAGCGATTTGCGAGTATCAATCAGTAGTGGTATTCCAGCAAGTTTGCTATGTTCTCCAAGACCTCCAGATTATTTGTCAATAACAAATTCAGTTCCATTCATTAATTTTCCACCGCATATGTAGTGTAGTGTATATCTGGTCGAAAAAAACACCCGGTTGTTCAGTAGCCACGGGTAATCATACATACCATTATGTAAGTTGAACAGTGGTGAAGTCTATATTTAAACACTCAAATCAGATACAGTAATGGTATAGTTAACCTGCCATTTTATAGTTATCTATCCATAGTTAATGAATATTCCTTGTAAACTAGACGTCTTATAATTGTTGATAAAAAGAGAAACAGAACATAATGATCTGTGATTTATTTTTTTCCTGTCACTAATACTTATTGAAACAAAGTTGCATTTTCATTATTTATCTAGCAGATCTCACTGTTTCAGTAATGAAATCCTGGAATATGAAATATTATTTAAGAAAGTAATACTGAATTGCAGTGATAATGGACAAATGTAAAAACAAATCGTGTTATCTAGAAAATGTTTTATCCTCCAGACTATAGACAACTGATGGAAGTCAGTCTTCATATTTTTATTGTGATACAACTAATATACAAATCAATCATGAATATGACAACAAATTAACTGAATATCTACATTTCCAGATGGAACCTGCATCTGATTTGTAATGAATGCTAAGCTTTCATCCAAAACTGTTAATTTTCTAGTAATCATATTTATGGAAGTGTTCAAGCCGAGATGAGTTTCCATAATAAGCTCCAATGTTTGCCAATATTTGGAATGCACTGAATACTCGGTTTGTACCTGGTACTCGAACTACTCGGCGCATTGTATTTACTCGGCCAGATAATTACTCGATCTGAACACAAGACCATACAACTTGTGTAACTAAAGGAATTGTTGAAGTGATGTGCTGCAAAGTCTGAGCACACTTTTCTGATATGTTCTCAAATAAATTAGCGCAGCACCAAAAAATAACCAAGGTTAGAGCATATTTTTGCTGGAATCTGCTGTTTGATTTGGATGACCTTCACTGAATCTACGCTATCCTCTAGTAAGCTCGTGTGTTTAAAGTATTCGCATGGATAGAGGATACTCTAACACATATTTTGTTCGTAAAAAAACACTGTAGGTCCATGGAGTTACTACTATGGCTGTTCAACCTGAAACCATATTGCCTTTTTGCAATTACTTATTTATTATTTTCAACATTCAAAAAGAACAAAAACCACAAAATAAAATAAACAAAACGCAGCTAAAGTCGAACGTAAATCAGGTGTTTCCCCGCATATCTGCAAAGAATAGTACTCGGCCGAATAACCGGTATTCAAATCACCCCAAGTAAGTATTGCATTCTTAGCTAGCATCCGGGTTTATTTGCGCATGTTGGCATCAGCTCAGAAATAAATGCCCTTATAGCGAAGATCGTTGAGTGACACTGTCACACCCAGTTTCAAAAACCATTTGCACTCACTCAGTCACTTTATAATCATAATCATATAGGATGCACTGCAGACTGCACAACAGGTGTTTTTGTCTAATAAATTTCATTGGATATATGCTAACTTACAAACCAAAAAGCCTTCCCACCTGAATGTGAAAGTCTAGTAGTCAACTATTTGCAAACTTCCACATTTCCACAAGATCCAAACTACTGACAATTAACTTCAAATGATGTGCATATGTATTTTCAGAAATAGAGTTCAACACCTAAGCAAATACAGTGAAAGCTCTCCTTGCGGACAGCTCCTATAAGCGGACATCTCTTTCAACTGGACAAAGTTCCTGGAACCGAATTTCAGCCATCAATTTTCAATGTTAAATGCATTCCGATAAACGGACGCTCTTATAAACGGACGCGGACACTAGATTTTCCTGTATGTGATCAAAAAATCTCCCATAAGCGGACGCGAAACTCTAATACCCGGACGATTTTTTAGTTCCGCTTATTGCAATGCACATATCTACATAACATACATAAAATTCGGTAATTCCCCGATTTATATTAGGTGATTCCCCATTTACGCATTTCGTTGGGTAGCCTGTATGTAATCTTGTGGCTTGTCTTCAGTTCAGGCAAATTCGTAGTTGATTGAGTTACGTATTTTATTATTGTAACTGTAAAATGGCACCAAAAAAAAGGATGCTCTCGTTAAAGGAAAAGATGGAAGTTGTTAACGTATTAGACAGAGAAAGTGTTTCAGTTCGTCATTTGGCAAAGAGGTTTAATATTGGGAAAACGCAAGCAGCTGAAATTGCCAAAAATAAGGAAGATATCAGGAGTAAATGGCAATCAGGAACTAATATAAATCAAAAGAAGGATTTTTTAAAAAAGGAAGGTTTTGCTATAGACAAAACATGTTTTGAGTGGTTTGTGAAAGCTAGAAGTCAGAACATTCCAATCTCAGGGCCGTTAGTGAAAATGAAAGCTAAAGAAATCGCCACTACTTTGGGCTATAATAATTTCAGTGCGTCCGACGGGTGGCTGCAAAAGTGGCGCAAGAGACATAGTGTGAGTTTCAAATGCATATCTGGCGAAGCGGCTGCAGTAGATCAAGTTGATGTGTCACAATTTTTGGAGAAACTTCCGTCCATGTTGCTTGGCTACAAACCAGGAGATGTGTACAACGCAGATGAGAGTGGACTTTTTTTTCGCGCATTGCCCGACAAAACTCTGTCGTTTAAAGGAGAAACATGTGTGGGTGGAAAGTTGTCTAAAGATAGACTAACCATTTTATTCTGTGCAAATATGGCCGGTGAAAAATGCGATTTGATTGTGATCGGGAAAGCGGCTCGTCCCGGTGCTTTAAAAAACGTTAAAGATCTACCAGCGACTTGGAAATCCAACAAAAAGGCATGGATGACCCGAGAAATCATGTCTGCGTGGTTAGTCGAATTCGATCGGAAAATGAGAATCCAAAAAAGGCAAGTTCTTTTATTTTTAGACAATGCATGCTCTCATCCTCGTGATATGAAAATGAAAAATGTGAAAATTATATTTTTACCGCCAAACACAACTTCTGTTTGTCAGCCCATGGATCAAGGTGTCATACAGAACTTTAAATTTTATTATCGGCACTTGATTTTAAAACATATTTTAACAAAAATTGACGATGGTAAAAGCTTCTCTGAGCTTACAAAGTCTATCAATGTGTTAGAAGCTTTGTATTTTATAAAAACAGCATGGAATAAAGTAAATTCCTCTACAATTAAAAACTGTTTTGGCAAAGCTGGACTCAGAAAAAGTGAATGTAGCTCAGAATTTGCTGAGCAAAATTATTGCGATGCTGAAGACGATCTGCCCTTAGCGACACTTGCTCAGTTACTGCGACATGCCAAACATTTAGGAGTAGCAGATCCCCAGAAAGTAGATGATTTCCTGCCCATAGACAATAACATAACAACAGAAGAAAATGCCATTGGCAACTTTTCGAATTTGGATGTAGAAAGCCCAGGCCAACTTGAATATGGTAGTCCAAACGACTCAGAAGAAGAAGTGGAACTGGTGGACTCACTAAGCGGTTCAAAAACGATAAATTCATATGGGGAAGCTCTAAATCATATTTCTATATTGAAAAAATTTGCTAAAGAGGATTTCACTGCATTTCAACATTTGAAAAATTTAGAAAGTTATTACGAAAATTGTCTCCTTCAGCAAAAGATGGTGAAATTTCGTCAGACAAACATTTTAAACTTTTTTCAACAAGCTAAAGAATAATGTTTTTTTTAAATTCTCGTACCATGTATTGAAGCATTTATGTTTTTGTATGCGTATATGTACATATATTATATAGATATATAGCATAAATACATACTTTAAAAATGTGGCGAGTTTCTGTTTCATTTTTCTCATGATTATAATACCTCATTTCCTCATGATTATATACTCCGTTATTTATACACTATACTTACATACTCTCTTTTAAACGGACACCTCCCATAAGCGGACAAAAGTTACGGAACCGTGAGTGTCCGCTTATGGGAGCTTTCACTGTAGATTCTGCAATGGGTATAAAGCCATATGCAGCTCCAAGTTTTCATACATGGTCATTTGATGTAGTTTTCTGTGATAATCAATTTTGCAGTTATACCCATTTAAATTTATCCTATGTTGAGAAAAAATATTACTTCCCAACCAGGTCCTTATTTACAATAGACTCACGATATAGTGAACTAATTAATGCACAGTCAGTAGGGGTATTATGTATCTTGAAAAGTGACATTATGTCGTTTTTTTCTATCATTATGTAGGTTTTTTTACAAGATGTCTACTTGGCACTAGCTGTTGTACACTTGATGTGTACTCATTCTTTAGCTGTGTGTGTTGCCTAAACGTCATGATGCTTTAGCTATCAATGTTTGGCTCTGATTTGATGTACTATCTGCTTCAATGATGGCATTATTGAACATCTAAGGTGTAAGTTGTGTACTATAGCTGGAAGGAAACAGCAATGCATAAGTTCTTAGTGAGGATTTGTGTGCTAATAATCTGTGATGATAATTCCATTGCTTTCTTGTCTCAAATACTCAAAGCTAAAAATTAGTTGAGCATCCACTTTTTCATATTTATCCTGGAAATTACAAATGCAAATTTGATGACAAAAATGAGAGAGATAAGAAAAGAAAATCCCTGATTGGTGAAGTATATTACAGCTAACAGGTGAGAAAATATGCTACAGCCAGTAATATTTATGAAAGTGCAAAGATTATTACAATATTTTTTATTTCCAGTCATTTAAAATTTAAATTTTATAGAAATTTATTTTGTGATTCAATAGCAAATACAAATCAGGAAATCATAATTTATACTTTCAGAAAGGACAACACAAATGACTCATCTGGCACAGCTCATAGATATACTTCATGGGCATCATATTGAGTAATAGTTTACACACATAGTAAATACCACTGATTTTAAAGCTAAGCAGACCAATAAACTAAGTGTGGCTGCTATATATTGAAGAGATATTAATTTTTACATTTAAATACATCGAGAATTTCATCTGTAACCCACACAAGAAATAGAAATACAAATCTGTATCCAGTCCACAATCTCACCATTATGGGCAAAAATGTCCATTACAGCTGCACTGAAATATATAATAAGTTTGTTGTTTTGTTTGTATTTTTTTTGTGTATAAACCCTTTTTGGAACATTTTGGGGTCCCTCTGAATGTCTTAAGGTTTTCATTTTTTGATTAAAGGTCTTTTTAAAATCTTTACCCTTCTGCTTTGAATAGCACATATACTTGGCATAATAACCTGACATAATCAAAATCTGTAAGAAGTTGCTGTGATTCAATTGCACAAAAAAATACACAGAATTTAAAATTGTTTTCCTTTTTCAAAGTGTTTGTTTACAAACAAAAGCTATTGGTTCAAAAAATTGTATGTTCACTATATGATGAGTATACTGTATAAGTATCTAATAAATACTGATGTATCTCCAGTAACATTTTACTAATTCTTTATTTCCAACTAGCAGGTTATAAGATACCATAAAATCAGCATATTGGAGAAACTTAAGCATCATCCAAATAATGCCTTGTTAAACCAACATGAATGCATTTTGAGGTGAGAGTTAAGAGCAATAAAAAGTTTGGAACTGATCATTTTTGAAACCTTCTCAGCTTGGTAAAGAAAGTGGTTAGCCCAAAAAAACAACAGAGATATGATTCCATCAATTTGAGCTGTACAATCAGCATGAAGGAAAACAATTGTATTATGTGTGCAAGTGCTGTTGTCAAACCATGCATAATATAACTGGTGCTATGTACATCATTAGCTATAGATATTATGAAATTCACATTACAAAATAGCAGATAACAGATAGGAAAAGGATAGAGACATTAATACCAAGACTTTTGGAACATATGTATGTTCTAGTGAAAGCACAAATATGTGATGTCAGTATACCAGCAGGTTCAAACAAATTGCTCCTTATTAAAAGTCATGAACTGGCTTGAATATATTCACATATTTTGATGTATTCACCTTTTTTACAATGGGAAATATTGAATTGGCAATATCAATATTATAGGAATATTGGCCAATGACCATAATGAAGATATGACTAAGCTCCCAAAAACTTAGTACAAAATTCTCAAGTTTGATGAAGCTTCTCTTTTATTACAAAATTCATTCAAGCAGTCATAAAATAGAAACTGTGGTTTTACCTTTGGTTAAAGGCTACCATAGTTTGGATGTTATAATATTTTGCAAACAGCAAGAAAGTTGATAAACATAGTTTGTCTGATGACTCCCCTTTTGCAATTTGTTGATTGATGATTTATAAATAGAGGCTACTATTAAGGGAAAAAAATTATAATAAAATTTTAGGTGTGTAACAATGGTTCTACAACTATGTCATATATTTACCCTCAGTTTTACATATAATTGGTGTTAATGATAATTTAGTGCAACTAGTATAAGTTGAAGGGTTAGTATGTGTACCAATAGTCTGTATCTTAAAGACAAACATTTAATGTGATTGTATTAAGCTAATATAAAGTAATTAAACAATGATTATAGAGCAATTTGTGATGTCTGATGAATTAAACTGAATGAACTTTGACTTACCTAATTGTACATATTAAATAGATCATTATACATATAATTTCTTACTTGATAATGGTCTACAGTTAAGTTTGGGTATGATTATGTACAATGATAAAACTTAAAATACCAAAATATTCAAAGCAATATGGGACGCTTAAAGTTGAATAGTTCAACTCCTAAATAATGTAAAAGATTGCAAGGCATAGAAAAAAACATATACATCTGCATTGCAGTACATCAAATAAAACAAGAATTGTTTTTAAAAATAAAGCATATGAATTATACCGATCGACCTTCGTCTTATCAGAACATAAAGGAGCATACTTTAAAGTTACAAATGGAAAAAGGTAATCGATAATTAGCAGGCGATTTGGCGATAAACAAACCTGTAGTAGGAAAGGTGTCCATTCTGTAACACGAACCACCGTCTCTGGTACCCCTTCAAGTAGTTTGTCCATTTGAACAGCCATCCTTTCATTACAGGCTCATTCTGGGAGGAGTTGGACTTGCTGCTAGTTATACTGTCACCCATTTTATCTACTGATCTAATGTTCTTACAGGCTACGAAGCTACGATTACGAATAAACTACAAATTGATAGGCAACTTCACACGTCGTCCATATTGAAAATATGACGTAACACGTCAAGTCAACCGAACTTGTCAAAATTGCTCAGCAGTCAGCGATTGTGACGCCCTCATAGAGGCGGTTTGTAGATATAGGCAACCAGTAAAGCATTTTTCGCCTTGATGGAGGTTGCGACTCTTCTATAGTCCAAGAGCCGACTGCAAAAATGTTTAACCAATTACAGTAGCGTAACGACTGGGTTAAAATTCAGATAAATGTTTTTTGTTTTGCGATAAATACAACACGTAAATCTATGTTTGTGATGCTACTTCATTTTTGAAAAGTTTAAATGACCACCCTACATAACTACTGTAATGAATTTACCGTTTTGCAAGCTTTGCTATATATTGAGAGTCCCATGACGGAAAAAAATGTTTCCTATATCTGTCAACTGGATCAATATATTTTTGAGGTATTATGAATATATTATAAGATAGTTAAAATTGAAATTTCCCATGAAACAGTATGATAAGGGGTTCTGTTCATCACAAGTTAGCCCTTCTGACAAAAAAGCTAACTACGAACATATATAACAAAAAATGGGTCAAGTAAGCCAAACAAGCCAATATAATTAGTTCATAATGTCCACTCATTTAGCAACACTGCGACCTAGAAATTTCTTCCCTGCCTTACCGAAAATATCGACTACCTGGCAAAGTCAGCCATGCTATACTGGCCAGCACCAGTGGTGAACAATCAGGTGACAGGTGCAGACCGGATTTTGTGCGCATAGGTATACATTCGTACAGGGCGGCAAGTGCGACCGAGACCCGACACGTCTGTTGAAAATATTTTAAGGGCAAATGTACGGGGAATCTATGATGTATATCATAGAGGGGTAAAAATTAAAGAGTTAGGAGGGGGGCAGAGGCGCTACCCGTGTACTCATGGGGAGTAGCCTAAATGCCATTTAAACAATAAATCTAATTTAAAAGGAAAGTTTTTATTGACAAATAACAAAAATAATTCTTTTTTGCTTACTTGCAATACGATTTCCGACTTCTTCGGTTTCGACATGTACATCTTTATGGACATATAAAAGTGCCAATCCAGTGCTTGATATTGAAACACGAATTAATTTTTTGAAACAACCGCAGGTAAGATTACTCTGATGAGGATGGAACATCCAACACTATCGAGGCACGTTTCAATTTCCAAAAAATATGTTTAAGTCATTATTATACAGATGTGTAAAAAATAGCAATATATTGCGTTTATGGCTAGCCCGTCTCTGGCGAACTAAATGAGTTAATAGTTTCCATTTGATTATATCGTCGCCTAAGTTCTAACGCAGCGTAGCTCAAAACTGCCAGCTTTTTAAAACAGCAAAAAACGGCGGATATTTGGATTCCCTATCGAATGACACGCAAATCTTGATGGCACCATTTTTTGAGTTACGTGATGTTAAAACTTGACCGACGAAATTTTAAAATTATTTAAGAAAAACCTATTTCCAAAGACGTCTCCCAGGGCTTCGCAAATCAACAGGATCAAACACAGTAGTTTCAGAATAGTCCCGGCAGTCGCATATTGAATTTTTGACTATGTTTGTGAAAAACTGTAAATTACTAAACTTACATAATACCATCATGCTAAGTTACAAATAAAAAGTTTTAAAAATGTGAAGTAGTATATATATTATATTATGTTTCTGGACAGATGGATAAAGAGAGCGAGATTTGAACGCTCCTATACGCTTAGATAACTATGATGCTTACTACTTACCATCTCCGTTCAAACAAATGAAACCGCTTTGCTCTGATTTTGTCCGTCAAAAAGTATTTTTATCAAATTTGCTCACAGCGCATTGAAGATGCGCGCCAGCCAAACAGTTTTTTCTTATGTTTCTTTCAGAATGTCTCAATTTTCAATTAACTACCTTAGTCACAGAACACATGAGGCTTAGTCCCGGATAATGCACTATCGGACTACTTGCAGTGCCGCCAAGCCAAAAAAACGCAGCATAACTTTATTTAATTTGAGACAAGTTCAACGTATAGGCAACCAGACTTACGCAAATCCCTTATTTCTACGTCATCATCGATTCGCTTATAAATTGATCAGGGTGTCCAGGTGTGGTGATTTTTCACCAAATCTGGTAATTTTGTACCGTTTGTATCCATTAGATACTTTCAAGAGTCTGCACTTTATTACACGTTGACAAATTTTGCCAAAAGTGAATATTGTTTACAACTGACTGCCCACCATGCATACTTCGATTATTTCTAGCATTTTCAGATAAATCTTCTCTAGCGATAGCTTTTTTAAATGTTCATTGTCTAAGGTATTTGCTTCCACCACCTCTAAAGAATTCCCAAAAGTTTTGCAAGTCTTATGCTAGGTGGAGGCGAATCTTCTCGACTGCTAGAATCTTCACTATAAGGAAAATGCATCTACGAGAATTTTCGACCGGAACGGCTATCCAACGGCAGGATATTCTGACATCTAACGAGCCGGATGTCCGGTATCCGTTATCAGGACAATTCAATACCCACTGCAACCCTCATAAATATACTAACGTCAAACCCCCTACAACCTCCACACTTTAGCCCCTATTTTTTTCTGAACATGAGCCTCTGATGAAATGCTAAAAAACGATTGGGCGACTTTTGCCCTTAGATCCGCCAACACTGGACCGATTTTCAAAAACTACAAAGCTTTTCCATCCTAAGCATAGATGTAATCTTGTGTGTGTGAGAAGTTCATTCAAATTCGGGCTGTACTTGGAAAAATTTATGAATTTTTTCGCGATTACACTACTTCCTCTCAAGTGGCATGGGAAGTAGGGATTTATCAAACTTTTGCTTATTTATTCAACCTGCTTTATTTTTTTTCACACTGGGGTTATTATAACAGCTTCACACAAAACTATAATACCATAATGCATGAATGAAATGTCTACTCACAGTGAGTAAAAAAGTACTTTTCAGTTTCGGCTGGAAATCATTACATTTCAAGATATAACATAAAACGTGAAAGAAACTATACCATCAAAAATTGTGATTTTTTTAAATTTCACTTTTTTAAGAAATTTCTGCCCGGTGTCACACTGGCGAATATCTAGATTCTTGTTATACAAGATGTCCTAAAACACATCGGATATCTATTTAACTGCAATCCGCCTGAAGTGATTTTGCAATGGTTGAAATGACTTTTTTCAGAATGTTCTGCAGGATCTATTTTTTCTAAAAAAGCAGTATGGGACCACATCATTGTCTTTACGAATTTAAGTAATGTTTTTTTAAAATGAAAGAACACTATGGTATACAAATATTTATTGCTTAAAAAAATATCACAATACCCAGAAAGTAAATAAAATATACGAATATATATAGAGATGAAATTTTCAATAAATTATATCATAAACACCTTATAAAAATCTTACATTTGTATATATAGTGAATTACATGGCACACAGTTTTTTAATATGTCCAAGTTATAAAAATGTCATGACACATTCTCCTTATGATAATACATAATAGATAAATACACATCTGAAATCGTTACTTATATTCCCAAAAATCATAAGAACCCATGATGCTGGTTCTAAAAAAAATCAGTCAAGGACTTCGTGGAAACATGTATAAAGAATATTTGCAGAACCACTATGCTAACAAAGAGATAAATGATTGTTATAAATTATTGTACTTATGATAAATACTGGTTTAACCCTTATAGCGCCATATGTATCTATCTGATACAAATTGAGTTTACATAATGAGGCCACATGTATAGATTCGATACATATTTGCTTTACAGTGGGAGGCCATATGTATCAGAATGATACAACACTAAAGGGTTGCATTAAAAGCTTCTGTATCATCTCGATACATGGTTTAGCTTACTTTCAATGGTAAAACGACCTTGAATGGCCTCGTACTGTACATCCTTTCTTTGGCGGGCGAAAAATTAAGGAGGGGGAGGATGAAGAAGGTTTTTTCTGAGACTGTGTTGATACTTTTTGACGTGAGGGCTGGTCTACACCTATGTACAATCCCAATTGATGTAAATCATAAAGCATAAACATAAAACCTGAATTTTATGTGCTCTTATGATTATGATGATGTTTTAGGAACGCACTGATACGAAATTCGTATTCAACTCTTATAATAATCGTTGCAACTACGATTGTGATTTCAACAAGCATTGATGTAGACCAGCCTTAACGTCAACAAAGCCAGCCACATGGTTTTGGCAAAGAGTATCCAACTAACGATATCCTTTGCTTTGGACATATATGTTTGACAATTCGAATTTAACACTAGGTTTTTCCAAATAACGCGTTTATGTTCTTCCACTGCGGATGCTGTTATCTAGAGACGGGAAATATGGTTATTTTGAAATAACTGTTATGACTGTTGATGCTATTTTTGAATAACTTTTTAAAATAACAGTATAAAATAGCAAACTGCTATTCCGTGGTATCCTGGTTGCCTATGTGCATTGATAAATAACAACCAACCCCTACTGTTATCCGTGCTAATCGTGTTGTCGCATTATTCAGTCAGTTGTGTTCTCGTACGTTTGTGTACTTATGTTATAAATGATGTCGGGTAGAAAAGTATATACAGACGATGAGTTGGTCGCAATTCTTGAAGGAAACGATGACGACGGACGTAGTAGCGGGAGTAGCTGTAAGTATGATTCTTATTTACGTTATTTACGAACGTCAAATATTCATTTTCATAGTAGGTGTACGTTATTGACCGGTAACCTTCAAATTTATCACACATAATTCATTAGTATGTCCTATTCACCTATTCACATATTCACGCTAGATCTGAGATTTACCTTACGTTACTGTTGTTTTAGTGGAGGATTCATCTGAGGACGATGATGAAGATTATGAAGCCCTTGAAGGTGAAGTCGAGACAAATGGCAATGAAGATGATGACGTACTTGAAGCGGGTGTTCAAGAGGCACAAGGAGAAAGGAGCTGGTCAGAACCATCATGTGATCTTTTCAATTTTGATTGCAACAAGACAAACGCAGTTTCTCAACATTGTTTGATGCTCTTAGAGCACACCGAAAAAACACCGCTAGATTTTTATAATCTCTTTCTTGATGATGAGATTATGGATCTAATTGTCTCCAATACAAACCTCTATGCCACCCAGGAACTCTGTAAGCTCATTGCGCGAGAAGAAATTACTACTGGGAGTAGATATAATGCTTGGACTGATACAAACAGGGAGGAAATGAAAATCTTCATCGCGTTTTTACTATGGATGGGACTAGACCGAAAACCCGAAATTCGCGACTATTGGAAGAAACATATTCTGTACAAAAATGATGTCAGTTGCTATATTAGTAGAAATAGGTTTGAATTATTGTTGGGATTCATCCACTTTGCTGATAATGAAATGGCATCTCCAGACAACAGACTGTACAAAATCGAACATTTACTCCGCTTGCTGAACAACAAATTTTCCATAATGTTTGAACCTGGAGAAAAAATTACCATAGATGAGTCGATGATTCCGTTCAGAGGGCGAATAAAATTTCGCCAATACATTCCAAGTAAGCGCCACAAGTATGGTTTGAAGGTTTACAAAGTGTGTCTGTTGGGTGGATACACTTGGCACGCGAAAGTATACACAGGAAAAGCCTCTTCTGGAAATCTCACTGTTACCACTAGAACTACTATGGAACTGATGGAGCCATTGTTGGACCAAGAGAGAACCCTGTTTACTGATAGCTTTTATACAAGTGTTGAATTGGCAGAAGAACTTTTGAAAAGAAAAACCCATTTACTAGGTACCCTTAGAGTGAATAGAAAACATAACCCACATGGAGTTACCAAAGCAAAACTTAGGCGAGGGGATATGAAATATTTGCAACATAGTGAGAAAAAAATCATTATTGGAAAATGGAAGGACAAAAGAGATGTCCTTTTCTTGACTACAAAACAAGTGCCGCATTTAGTGGAGATTGAAAGCAGAGGAGGAAGAAGAATGCAAAAACCTTCGACCATAGTGGATTACAATTCTGCTAAAGGTTATATAGATTTGTCAGACCAGATGGCAGGTTACTGCAGTCCACTGCGTAAAGGCCTCAAATGGCATAGAAAACTTGCGTTTGATCTCCTAACAAACACCGCAGTTGTAAACAGTCACAGATTGTATACACTGGTGGTAAGGAAAAAAATAACAATTGTCCGGTTTAGGGAGGAAATCGTGACAGCAATATTGGAAAATCTAAGAACCTTAGATGAGCAGGCACTGCTGACTCCCCAACAACTACATCATAAACACCGATTGACTGAAAATCGCCCAAAAAGAGGACGTTGCGTGGTTTGCTACGACAAGTTCCAAAAGCAATTCGACTCAAAGAAGGCCACAACACTCAGCAAACAAGTTAAAACCTCATGTGTTTCATGCACACATAAGTTTATGTGCATTGATTGTTTTTTTCTAACACACAACTGTGTGCCAAGCAAACGATAATTTCATTCTATTTTCTGTTTTCCACAATTTTTGTTCTTTGTAAATATATTGTATAAATATCACTGAAGTTGTCTTTTTATCATTTTTCCCCAATTAGTTTGAAATTTCCATAAGATGTATACGAATGGAAATATGTATCGAATGTACACACGTGGCGTGGGGTTGAGAAAATTCGAGAGTCACACCACGAGGCCACATGTATAGATTTGATACATTTGCCATTTTGGCAAAATTTGCTCTTCACATGGGCTAATACTTATTCAACATCATCCGTATATACTTTATCTGAATAAAGAAATTAAAAAACACTTCTGGCCTGGGGGTGTGACCTACTGAAAAAAGGCTGGCCTCAACGGGTAGACAGGTTTTTTTCGCTTGGCGCTAGTAGTGTTAAACAACATTAGAGAAACCTTTAGCAAAGCTGCATATTATGTAATTATATTTTGTTAGCTAGAGAGCCTCAAGGAGTAGGTCATATTCGGCTGCCAAGTACTCCATAACGGCGGCAAGGTACACAGGAGCTCCGGCACCGACGCGCTCATAGCATGTTCATGATTTCTCAAGTCCGCATAATATTTATTTTGAATGACAAGAATCAACTGTTTTTTGACTTCATGTCTTGGACGCTCAGAATAACAATATCGCGCCTGGTACTAGGTATGGAAGCGATCAACTCTAGTAATATCATTTATTACCGTTTTTCATATAGTGGAATGCAAGGTCAATCATACTTATCAATTAAATCTAAGACTACTGCAACTCACCCTCTTTCTTCCGCTACCCTTTAGACAAACAGCATTATTTCAATATCTTAAATATCTGGTGGCTAGGCAGTAAACTGCTTTTTTACGGGTGCAACTTTTGTCCAAGTGTTAACAGATTGTTAAATATCCGTAAGTAGATAATTCCTAAAGAAATGCGATTAATGTGATTACCCATGTTGCGCAGTTTTCTTGTCAATGTTTGTTCATTGCCTTCTTTTTGAAGTTACTAATAATACTATCATGGTCAATGCTTCAAGGATATAAAGAAGACATGAGACTGCTACTCATCTCCTTGAGATTTTTTATTTCCAATATATACAGACGTCCAGTTAACAGTAAGTCAGGCACGATTGAAACGGTCATGTTCCAATAGGTCTCCTGCACCACTAACATTTCGGAAATGACTTCAACTACCCCAAAATCGTGGAAGTGGCTATAACCAATCATGCGCCCTAGGTTTAGGAGGCCCCGCACACACCGTGAAGGACCTCAGTAGGACCGTTTTTTCTGTATATGCTCAGATCTGGGGAGACGTCGTTAAAGTTCACTTATTTCAATGGCTCTGCTCGTTTATTTATTTGTGGTTTTGAAAATAAAAATTCCGCGAACATGTTTGTTTAGAGAATCTGCGAATATGCCGAGAAACCTGCTAAAAATGAACAATTAGCGACTAGTGATTATCATGTCCTGGAAGTTTAAAGAGACATTTCGAACGTATTTGTCATCTTACCATTCATACTTTTACCATAACTTTTCATGTGAGACTACTCTCGAGTATTTTACGCTAAAACGAACAGATTCTATAGTTCCTTATGCTAATAATACCCAACATGAAATTATATTTACAAACAAATTCTTTCTGAAGTTAAAGATATAAAACTAAAACATCATAAAACAAAAATACTTTGGCGGTATTGGCAAGACAGTTAGAAGAGAACTTTATGCTCACTTAAAGCCTTAGAGTTATGACACACTGTGCATGAAACAATAAATACTTTAAAATATCACAAGTGTCAATAACCGTGGGATACGTTTTTACCCAAAAACAAATCAAAATCTTCTCAAAGTCGTTCTTCAACATGCACATATGCTCCTCCATTAACCCTTGAGTAGTAATTTCCCTACTCTGGAATCCTTTTATCACCATACAGTATCCACCAGTCTATAGCGTTCATGATGGATTAAGTATAAAAATAAATTTTATTTTAAAATGTATTTAGTACACAATTCTTGTTGCAGCAAAAATACTTACGATTTTCTACAAATAACTAACACAAATATGTTTTTGGTCCGCAATTTCCGATATGTTAAAAACATTAAAATCTTAGCATCTGTAGTAACAACATATTATTCTGAAAATATGTCACAGGCCAGAAGCTGTAGCAAAAGTAGTCGAATTTGCGAGCTATGAATGAGCTGTAGCTCGCCTGTCACATTTTCTGCTTGGAAGCCATTAATGTTGGAACTTCGCATTGTCTTGTAATATTACCAAGAAGCTTACTTTGAGAAGAATCTGGTTTCGTTTAGATTATCATTAAGCAACAACTGGCTTGATCGAAAGCAAGAATAAAAACCTTTTAATTCATTCCTCAGGTAACCACCTTTTCATAAGACGGAGGCGGGGAATCCCTTAAGACATGTATGGCGTCCATGTTGCCATTTTGTGGAGACAACATCACGGCTATATGGTAGGGGGGTGGGGGAATCTCAGCTGGGTGTTGCGGCGTGTTATTAGCTGTTGAAGTTTGTGCGGGAATGTTGTGTGTTTCTTGATTTTCAGACTGAAAGTTGGAAACAAGGATGGAAACTTGTGAATGTTGAATTCACTAATGTAAACTATGGTGGCAAGCTTGGCACACATATAAAGTCTGAAAGCTATGATTTCAGGACAATAAACTATCTATCTATCTAACAGTGATTAATCAGCTGGTTGTGTCCATTAGGACAGCATAATAATGCTTTAACCTGTAAACGTAAGTCATCATGTTAGTAGCGCTACTGAGCGTTTTGTTTTGATAAATGTAATTAACATAAATGAAGCATTCTAATAGCGATATAATTTGGCCTCGGAATTGAAGGAGAGCAGAAAGCACAAATAGAGCCTTCAAGGTCCATTTTCAACTTCCCCGTGCGATTACGAGCAATCGAATGAAATTACTACTCTCGAGTAGGTATTACGACTGTTTATCTGTCCTTTGCCGAAAATTTGTACATTTACACATACACACACGCACGCGCCCACACACACACACGTTCTTGAGAAGACAATTGGACGTCATTATGCAACAAGGTACCAACTGGTATAGCTTTGAGAAAACAGCAAAAATTGTTACTGATGCTACATCAATGTATTCAAACTACAATCCACGTTTCAATAATCATATCAACAGACGTTTAGCCTATCGGTAGATATACAAATTTCAGTTCTCATAAAGGTGAAATCTTATTTTTCACCATCTTGTTGGTTGGTTCCTTGTTGCATAGCAAGGTCCAAATGAAACTCTTCTAGCTATATACTAAAAATTTTCTTGTTGCAATCCTAATCGGTGCCGTCGTGATCCGCTCGCTGAGCCTAGTAAATGAACCCGATTCTTATCCCAAGAGCCACCATTTATTTACTTCTAGGACGCTGTTAATGTTAAATGAAAATAAGCAAATATTCACTGCAGTAATCTTCACCAGTTCCAAACTTTTATCAACAAATTCAAGTAAAAATCGTGAGCTACAGTAGCATTTCAGATATGATTAACATGATGGGCATTCTCATACAGCTACTGATACAATTTGGTAAGCCTATAAGGTGTTCCTTTACCTGATCGGTAGCTTGTGTTGAAGGACTCCCAGCATTGTAAGATGGGGCATATGAGAAAATAACCTCACACAAAGATATCATACCTCCCACTATCAGAACAACCACCAGAAGGGCACAAAAGACTAGTGCCTCCACGCCTATATTGATCTGAAATATAACAATGGATATAATGGATTTACTCAATGTAACAAGTTTTACTAACCCCGTGAAAGTAGTATTTAGATCCTGCAAGGAAAAAAGTCACCAGAGCAAAAAATATCCAAACACCACATTTCAACTTAGAGGTAGGAGAATGTCGGTTTCTTGTTGTTGGATTATGGGCAGTGGCGACCATCTCTAAAGAACCACCCATTTGCGGAACCCGTGGTATCCGAATGTTGCTGCTCACCCCACTGAAGTACAGTATCATTAGTCAAGCAATGGATGAACCCAATTGAGTTGTACATAATTGGGTGATTCTCATTTTATTGAAAACATTTTGTGCCTGCTTTTCATTGAAAAAATAGTGCAAATGTTTACTCAATTCCTATATATATTTATTTGTCTAAACTGGTGTATGGTTTGTGTATTTTTACTATTTTTATGGTATCAAAATACAAATTAATACCATCATCAGAAAAGTGTTAAATATGTCACATCTATGTCTTATGCAAATTCACTAACTGTCAATTGGGTATTGTCTCAAATACTATAAAAACGTGTGCCCTTAACATTATGCTACTTAAAAATTCAAATGAAAGAATCTACTGTATGTGCCTGTTGACTGAGAATCACTCAATTCTGTCTTTACAATGCAGTAAACGAGTTTTCTACAATTTCGCAATGCAAAAACAAATGTCAATTTGCAGCAAAATGAAGTTATTCAGTTGTGAACTATTTTCCATAATACTTCATTAGATGTTGATGTCTATTTAAGTGCCTCCTTGAGTCACACTGTTGACATTCAGTAGTTTATGAAAACTATTTAATTCAAATATTGGCTAAAATTTGTTTGATTTTTAGCTTACTTGAAATGTAGTCATGATCATAAGCAGATAAGCAAATTAGTTCATTTTGGATGTATACTGACATTTTCCCAATAACTTTATGTAAAACAACTCACACAAAACTGCTGACATCACTTATAAAGAGGAAGTACAATGTGGGGAGCTTTGAATGTACTAAATGATCTGCTGTTATTTAACATGTTGAGTTGAACTCCCCACAAAATTGGATGTATCTAAGTGCAGTGCAAGAATTGTTGAATATTTAAAAACACAAGACCAATTCAAATGTCTTCTTGTATGTTTTTATGAATAACTTATGAAATATTAAAAGATTTACTTATAATGTACTGATGGTGAACAATGTACTGGTGGCCTTGCATGATAGCCAGTTGATCTGCTACATCGTAAACCATTGTTTACCACACTTTCAATGGACTGGAATCTATGAACTGGTGTTACCATCGGTTCTGGAAAAAAGCCACTACACAGATTCCCTTGATTTCTGCCGTACCCTAAGAATGACAAATTATATTAGTGTGACCTAAATTTCATACTTTTTAAGAAGTCATAAATCAAACTCATCAGAAAACTTATTGAGCAAGGACTAGTAAACTCATTTAGACCAGAGCACACTGTACATGTATGAAAAGACACAAGTGGATTAAGCTAATAATATGGAAAGGAGAAATTGGGGAAAAACAAAAAACATATCAGTCAAGTGGGAAATCTATGAAAAGTGCAATAGCAACACTTCCTAGTGAATAAAAAAGGGCTAGACACTGGTAGCTATGGTAGAAGAGCACTTGTTACATCCTGCTACTGAAGCTGTATTGAAACTAAACAAAATAAATAATTGAAAACACAAGTGGATAAAGGTGTATTGTTGTCATGCAACAAAATTGATGTATGGAGGAAAATTGACTTTAAACATTTTTTATTGGGACTTCTTACTTTATTTACATCTTAAATAGAAGCACTCCTTAAGGTTTGTTTAATGAAAAAAAAAACAATTTTTAAAAAATGTCACAGGACACCTTTAGCCACTCGTCTTCGATTAATTGTTGATGACCTCCTTTGATGTTTCTATATTATTTTTGCTGTCCACTGGTATTGTCTCAAAAAGTATAAATTTAACATGTTAAACAGTACCAGAAAGTGAAGGTCTAACTTGTCTGTACACATTAAATCCGCATGCCTGGCTACGTTTATCTATCCAAAAATGCATGTGGAGTGTCTGTTGCAGAATTTATACAATTAATATTTAGATTGCATTCAAAGAAACATTTCAGTTTTCTTTTTCTTCGGTGAAACAGGGTCCAAATTGCATGTAATCAATAAGGTCCTAAAAATAAAAATATGATCAATATAAACAACGTAGTTTATGAGAAATAACATACTGAATCCAATTCTAGCTTATGTAGTACTGAAAATATTGGAAATGGTTAAAATTCTAGTATAATTATCCATCGTAATTAATATTCGGACTCTGGAAAACAGTTTTTCGTTTTGTTTGGGTATCGGTATCATGAAATGAAGGATTACTCGCAGCGTTGAGATTTTGACAGGTGCTCGCTCCTGCTTTGATTTTCAATAGTGAAATAGATTGCCCATCTCAAATATAAATCAGAGGTTTGATTCAGTTTTTGAAAGCTACATACAAAACTTTTTTTTGATGTTACTGTGTATTAAAAATCAGCTTTGAAAAAACCTAGCCAATTGCGTGCTAATTGCTTTACTCAAAGTGCCAGTAATAAGTGGAAAACAGGTCAAGTATTCGTTCACGTCGGATCTCTCATCCCTATTACATTATTCCCCAAATCCCTATCCTGTCACTCTTCATTGTCATTGTCAGTGTCAGCTGTGTCATGGAATGAAAATATAAATAAAAATAGGAGTGTGATTACTGTGATTTCTTTAAAAAAGATTGGTTTAAATCAAGTGTTATATGTTTATCAAGATTTTCTGTAATTATCAATAGTTTAACAACTCAAGATGTCGATAGAAATATTACAAGCTGATGCAAAGGCAGCGGTAGCAAAGCTGGCTTCACTCAGCAATGATGAATTGGATGAAATTATGAACTCAGATGAGAAAATAGAGGAGATTTTGAAGGAGTTGGAGCAGGTTGGGTATTAGTTTATACTTATTAAGCTCTGCTTGAATGTTCTGTTTTATTTCAGTCTTACTTGAAAGAAATAGAAAATGAAAAAGAGACTATCATGGCCAGCAATCATTCACTTGCAGAGTACAATCTTTCCAAAGAACCAGAGCTGGTGGAGTTAAGGGAAAAGGTGCAAGAGCTGTCAGAGCAAGGGGAGGAACTGACCAAAAGTGTTGATGAAAACATGAAAATAATCAGTACGTACATCATCTTATCAGTTTTTTTTATCGATCAAATTGAAAATACATTGTACATATATCATTGATCAAAATGCAGATGTAAGTAAGCAACAAAACAGGTTTAAATTTTGGATTTAAGGTTTTATGGAGTTAGGCAACCTTATTTGAGATACTAGAAATAAATTGATGTCAAAAGGATCCAGGAAGGTCTGTTTCATTGAAAATGAATTTAATTCTTTTCCTCCTTCAACCTTTAAGAGCATAAAATATCTCTTGGAAGGAGGTCATAGTTTTCAGTTTCTCTTTAAAGTAATATTGTAAAACCAACACTCAGTAAGGCCTAGTGCCACAATTAGTCCTGATACCTTTGTGGAGCTATGTAAACCTATCTATTAAATAACAAATCATACTACGTAGTTCATTGGTCTTTAGTATTTTTCCATAGCAAAAAAAATATGCTTTTGATACCATAACATATTCTAGCTGAAGATAGCCAACTATAATCTGGCCCTCAAAAAGCATCTAAATAATCCTAACGTCATCTACTTGTATGAGACTGTAGCAGAACACAAAAATCAATTTAGAAATCTACTTTGAGAAGAGTTGGAGCTTTGGTTCAGCTACTACTTAGATGTTGCTAGGATATTCAATTCCTTTTTCGCATCTCTCCTGCATGTTTTAATTGGATATCTTAGACATTAATGTATTCCACCCGAAGTACTACATAGAGAAGTAAATTGTAGCTTAGAATGATTGAACACTATTGTTTACTTTTGTGTTACAGAAGAGAAAGGTGGTGACATGTCTCTAGAGACTGCCCTAGCTTTACTTCGCACTGCAGCTAGTGAAATGGAAGAAGAATCCGATAAAATAGCACAGAAATTCCTGGACAATGAAACTGATCTGGATGACTTCTTGGAGCAGTTCTTAGTGAAGCGTAAATTAATGCATACGAGACTAGTGAAGGCAGAAAAGCTCTCCAAACTACTACAGCGTGACCCGTCTCTGAGCAACATCCCCAATTACATTAACTCCCCACCACTGAACATCAATACCAACTACATTCCTGGAGTGCCTCCTGTAAGTCCTCCAGCCATGCACCAGGGCGTGCCTTATCCCACTGGTCCCTTTAACATGCCCATGCCACCAGCTATGAATTATTTCCAGAACCACTATTAAGGAATCAGAAGTGGGATTGAACTTCTATATACAGAGTGTCCCATAAAATTGATGTAAATGGATGAAATTGGTTACGAGTCTTGAAAATCTATGTTTTTCGATGCAACAGTTATCTTTTCCAAGACAGTTGTCCTTTGACTACACTCAGAATAAAAGTAATTTGTTCACGTGAAGAAATCCTGTTAATGTTGCCTTGAAATATATTACATCAGACAACAAAAGCTTCTTAATATAACAAGTTGACAATTCTTCCCAAGACCTAATGCATCTTCTCACCTTGAGAAAAGAAAAACCTAGCAATAGTGTTACTGAAATAGCACACTCTGGGACACCCTGTAGCTTTACAGTTTTATAAATATCCACATAAATTATTATGCACGTATTAAAGTGATGTTATTTGTTATTGTACAAACTCAATTATTTAAGTTTATATCTTGAAATCATAAAAACACTTGTTGCCATCATTTAATCTTAGAATAGTTATAAATATGTTATGGGCACCAGTTGTCAGTAGTTACTTCTATTATAAATAAAACGATTTTAAACTAAGTATTGTATTGAGACAAAATGGTCATTCAGTGGGTTTATAAGGATATTTGATTTCATATGAAGAAGTTGCTGTGAAAATAATCTGCAAATGGATCTGCTTTCATGTTTGTGTACATGAAGAAATTGATGTAAAAATAATCTGCAAATTAATTCCACATGAAGGATGTGATGTGAATTTTTGAAATAAAGAATTATAATCAATGATTCTTGTGTTCTTCTTGGTGAAAAAATAAGTACCTACTTTTATGTAATATGTGCATGGAATATTCATAGAAAATTGAAATATTTTTATTTTACTATGCACAAAAATAATTTACAATTCAATAAATACACTCATAACCTTTTTAATCTATAGCCAGTTTTTTGAAGGAGCCGTCAACACCGAATCCAGAATCGTTATTTTGTATTTTCAACTCGGCTAACTCGTCCTTATCACACTTTACTGTCTGCAACTTTTTGAAAAACTCTTCTTGGCTTTCACTAGCTATGCACCAATCCTCTGAAACAATACACACTGATATATCACATGGGAAAGTGGTGTCACTCTTGACAAGGGGATGACTTTTGGCAGAAGCACACTGAAGCATTAAAAACTAAATTCCAAATCACGTTTCGGCAACTCTGCCCTATGCTATGTAGTACCTCAAAATTAAGTTTGATCCGCAAAGTTTGGCTATACAATGGTTATTAGACCAGTGATTGCTTACGCAAGTGCCGCTTGGTGTCTTCTCACCAAAACGCATTTGCGTAGTTTGCAGAATAGAACAAAACCTTGTGTACACAATCACTAACGCCCCATGGTTTATCTCCAATGCGACCCTTCACAAAGACCTTGAAATCCCTTATCCAAGGAAATACATCAAATAACAAGCTCAGCTACGTTATAGTCAAGCGGAATCGCATAGCAACACTTTGTTGCGAGAGTCAGTAGACTACATAGTCGAGCAAGTTCGCAAGCGCACAAGGCTGCGGCTCGCAGTATGAACAAAACTAAATCGTAGGACTTTAGGTCCAACCAAAATTGTAATTTTTCAACAACCAATCTCTAAATAATAATAAATCTCAAATTGCCACACTTCTTCCTTCTTTGCTTTCCATCCTTCCTCTATTTCTTGTTTCCTTCTTTTTCCCTGACTTTGTCTGGTATCTGGGCTGGGTAACCAGACCTGACAGACCTAATTGACTTACAATAATTTAACTAAGGGCCCTTTGCCCTATACGGACCGGTCTGACAGACAATGGCGAAACGAACAGACTGATATGTAAACTAAAAAATAGCAAAATGGGTAGTGTATTATTTTTTAAGAAACACAATTTGAATATTACTACTCCTTCAGAATTTTATATTTCCAACAATCATAAGGAACTTTAAGAACATACGACGGCTTGGATTCAGAATCAGAGGCTAATATTGTGTAAGACTTACAAATTTTGAAATATATTGAACTGAGCATATTTGAGTTTTTTTATTGTTCTGAATACACCTCTGTACGGAGTTCCAGGAACCATAGGAGACAATATATCCCAGAATATCACGGACACAGGGCCGCAGGTCGTTGCGAGAGCAATCGTTCGTTTGTTTTAACAGTTTTTAGTTTTTCCCGATCTGCATAACTGCACGGCGCTCTTCTTTTCGAATTGTTTTTGTGAATGAAGAAAGAGATTTGTGATAAGAATCCTTAAACATTTGCCCATAACTATGTAGGCAACACGGCGCTAATTGGTGAGTTTAAATTCATATTTTCTTCTCACAGTACGCATGAAAAAAAATAAAAATAGAATCAATCGGAAGCATTATGCTAAAATAAAATGGGCAAATTTTATTCGTTACATCCCTTTTACAATGATGATAGTCATCATGAGCATCAATGAAACTGGAGTGGAAATGAACTTAGGGATTCAGACTACATATATGTATTCTTTGAAACTTTCAGGTAAGAAATGGATAAATATCTCTGGTTTTTGTTTTGTATATAAGTCCTGAAGCTGATATTGTAAGTATATTTCCAACATCGATATCACTTGCTTAATTTGAGTTAGATGAATAACATGGAGCTAAACTGTTTCTTAAGCATCTGTTTCTTCTGTATACTCACTATACATCCTTAGACGCTCAAAGTTTTAGAGTCCGAAAATTAGAAGATGTTTGGTTTTCCAACGGAACTAAGCACAACTAGGTACACTGAGAAAATGCTGTCAATGAAACAGTTTTTCTGAGAAATTTTTATTACCCGAAATACATTTATTGATTGTTCTAAGTAATTAAATTATTTGGATTAATTAAACGGAATTTTCTAGAAGCAGTTTAATTGGGAATAGCAAACCAGGAACCTGTTTTATTGAACTGTTTAATTAGTATCGATAATCTAGTTTATGAAAAAACGGTACGTTTAAAACCATTAAACATTTTGATAAAAACAATTAAATGCAGTGCCGGTGATGCGCTTCGAACCCCTGTTTTATTTGTGATTTTCGCGAGAAGCTTCATATTCGCCGGATATTGCTACTGTTGGTGCTTTAGCGGTGAAGTGGGTCAATTATGGTGATCAAATGAAATACTCGAGCATAAGGTGCTTAATGACCCATAACAAAGGTTGGAATGTTTCTTGATAGGGGAGATACTCTGCTGACGTGACGGAATGGGAAGAAATTTGAAATTTTATTTATGAAGCGGATTTGTATTTGTTTAATGATTTCGAATTTGCTTATAATATAAACGCATTCACATATATTATATGTAAATGCGTTAAATGCCGGTGAGTGCAATATTGTTTTATTATTAGAAATAAAGTACAATTTTTGTACACATGGTCAAGTGGCCTTATTCAGTTTCAGGTATAACTCTCCCTACTTTCTGAATTTCAAACAAAGGATTGCTTTTAGTAAATGGTGATATAGTATAACCTGTTTCTGGACAATCAGATAAATAATTTGTAAAACTTGATCCCATATATAATAAGTTACTTACAATTAATGAAAATAAAAATATCGAATTTTGTTACTGTTAAAAGATTTGGAGCTTTTTATTTTGATTCGAAAACATCAATTAATCAATCAAAGTTTTCAATTTTTGATATCTAAGCACAGCAGTTATAATATACTTACATCATTTAGTAAAATGCAATTTGTTCTCTTAAATTCCAAATATCCTCTTAAATCTAAATAAAATAATTCATTAAGACTAGACAAACACTTTTACCTCAACTAATTAAACAAATTCAATAATCATAAGTAAATTGTTTGACTTGAAGCAGGTAAACTCATTTTAATAGTTCATTAATTTTGAATAAATATAGATATAGAAATCAGAGTTTAGTTAGACTAATTAAACTTGTTAGCTGTTACATAGTTCAATAAATCTTTTAATTGGCCTAATTACAACTTTAGTTGATTTGTTTAAACTTTTTTCTTAGTGTTAGTTAATCAACTAACTTACCATGCAACTGTTCCAGTGACGGTAGCTGTCCTCCATAATTTTCTGGTAAACATTCCTTAGGAACGAATTTGTACAATGTGTCAGCATTTTTATGAACATGAACCTGCAATGATTAATTCGTCATAAAACCAGTATCCAAATTTTTTATTGACAATATAATTTGATAATCAAGTATCCGAATAATGTACTTACTTTATCCAAAAACTTTGTGGGCAAACAGCTCCTCACTAGAAACATTACTTTGTCCATGATAGGCGGAGCATTTATAAAATGAAGGCCTTTCAGCCTTAAGTTGATAGAAATCTGGAAAAAAGTAATTCAGTCTTCTTATATAAAACAGTTCCCGTGTTAGATATAATTATCGAAGAGAATTGTTCAAAACAAATATTAAAATCATGCAATTTTATTAATTAGTTTAGTTACACTATCAATTTTTAAGATAAAGCTTTTGTTTTTTGAGCAGATACCTTATAATTTGAAATAACGTTTTGTGTTCTTACAAAAATGCCAAGCGTAAGAATTCAAACTGCAGATCCACACTAGAATCAGTCAGGAATTTAAAGTTAAAATCAATAAAAACATAATAATAACAGTTTTGTTATTCTGTCGTGATTTTTAATGGACGAAAAAATTACGACACATAACAAGGAATGGGAAAACTTCCTTCTCAGATCGCTTGCATTTGTCACTAAATTTGTACTCAAACTACCTCCCGTGTATTATTTTCATAAAAACATCGCGTCAAGTAGGTTGATCCTGTACTTTCCACGTAACACTGTCATCAGTGCATTAAGGATTATGTTTGGCCCAAGTTAGCTCCTGTGAGAAAAAGTTACATTGGAAGGTGTGTAAGTAGAAAAATAAATTGATCAAGTCAGTCAAACAGGCCCATACAATTAATGGATTTGACAACGTTGACAGCACCGAACATCCGAGAACGTATGTTGAAAATATTTCAAGTTATCAAGGCAAATGTACGGGAAAATCTATGTTGTGTGAAATACATCTAATAACAGGTGTGTTTGATTATTGGAATTGGAAGCATATAAATATACTAATGCTTAATTCTCAACATCTACGAACATTTTTCTAAAAATCTTCTGTAGCCTCTTAAACGTGAAAAAACGATCTTCACTTTTTTCGTTTTTTGTCTGTAGCACCGCCGCTATTGGATTGATTTTCAGAATCTATAACGCTTTTTCGTCTTAAGGCTGCTAGACACAGTGCCGCCGGCTAAGCCTCCGTGCACCCGGCGGCATACAAAGCCGCCGGCATTGCCGCGCAAAGGAGCCGCCGGCATTGCCGCCGGGGTGTGCCGGCGGGTTACGCGGCTTGCCGGCGTCACTTCGTTCCTGGCATTCGAGCGGTAGTGTTGTGCGGTTTGTGTGTTTAAACAAATTAAAATGTCGTTTAATTGGGACGACGAAGCTGTGCTGCTCTTAATTGAAAAACTTCATGTAAATGATATATTATGGAATCCCAGAAATGCAGACTATAAGAATAGGAACAATCGACGCATTGAACATAATTGCAAGTGTATTTGACATTGATAAAGGCGAAGTAGAGAGAAAGTTAAAGAATGTAACCTCTCATTATTTTCGGGAAAAACAGTTGCACAAATCTGGTGCAGGCATAGACGATGTACAGAAACCCAAAAAAGATGCTATTGCGCAAATGCTGACACCCCACATCATCTTTTTTATACTCTTCTGTCATTACAGTACCGTTTCGCCATTTTCTATTTTGTAAACTTGGGTGCAACCAAAACCGTCTCGTCCTTTTGTATTTTTTTCTTATTAAAATAAAAATTACAACTGCGGCGGCTGTGCTGATGATTTCCTTATCCATTTTAACCAACCAACCATAAAATATGCATTTCACTAGCGTTCTATGTGACTGTCACAACCGGAATGATGCTTGGCGGCTTGTATTGCCGACGGCATTGCCGCCGGCTTGTGTGTAGTAGCTTTTAGGCATAGTTGTAACCGTGTGTTTCAATTTCATCTGAATCTGATCTGTACATTCCGAATTACACACAAACCGACGGAAATTAGTGACATGGTTTTTCGTGATATACATGTCATATAACATCAGCAAAAATAGATTGTATTATATTTTTGGATGATTTTTAACCGGCGAACGGTATTCGCTAACAATGGGATGCAGGGACTTGAATTCTCATTTTGACTAGTTTTAAGCATCCTGCATGGAATTTCATCTAGAAAAATAAGTAAGATTATATGTTTTCCAGCGGCCACGGAATAATAATTGATAACAATTAGCAATACTGTAATTTTTTCGTCGACAAAAGCATCACGACTGTTAAATATTGATCAAACACAGATTTTCGATCGACTTACCATGAGATGTACTAGCATGTTGTTAACTGTAGGCGTATATTTAATAACGTTCTTCAATCCAAATCCTTCTAGGTCGATGACAATAATGTTAGAGACAAAATAGTCTTCGGTGACGATGCGCAACTCTGTGTGCAAGATAGGAATGACTTCATAGAAAAGTCCATCAGGAGCTTGTCCTTGTGGGTCATCAATTCTCACACAGGTTGTCCGACACAAATCGGGAGTTAATTTTGGCAGGATAGCGACCGTCCTGTTGGAATAATTATTGGTTTCAAAATTCATATTTAGTCCGGAACCATGTACCACGAAATAACCACCATGTAGGCATCTAGAAACCTGAGTATTCAAATAAGGTTACAAAAGTTCGTCGTTCAAAGGTCCTTTATTTGCTAATCATCAAGATCCTTCCGCATCCATTGCCTTATTACATCCAAATCGGATGGCCCATTCTCATGATTTTACACATCTATGAATACCACAAAAGAACTTTGGGCCAACGTCTAGACGTGTTTCAAATTCGTCCCTCACCATTTGAGTCGTATTTTGGTAATCTACAAACAGCCACTTAGAAACCTTTTTCCTGACTTTATTTGAGAAGGGATTCCAAAATGAATCGCATGTTGACTTTCCCAGTTTTCTCCTCTACAGGGTGGTAAAATTAGAATTTCAATATAACGTTTCGTCTCTTGTCCTCCAGCATTCACTTTATTTTTTGTTATGGACGCCATATTGGATTTTTGTATAGATAAGTAGAGTTTTTAATTTTGACCCAAAAATATATGATAAGTCATTCATTGGCATTGCCAAACCTTAGTTATTCCAGAAAAATAGAAGTTTCTAGGTAAGCCTTGATAATATCAAGTTTCATTTGCTTCGTATAATACCAGACCAGACCTCAAATTGAACATAGAAACAGAGTTTGGAAGACTGAGAAAAAGAAAAATAAATCGAGCGGTGAACTGAGAAGAGTCAGGCTTTGCCTGCAAAATAACGGACAACATTTTGAACATCTGCTATGATTTACCTCTGCTTGTTTATGATTATTATTGGTATCACATCAATAAAATTTTCATTTTGTGAACAGGTTTCACCATACGTTTTTATTTCCTTATAATCTTTATCGAACAACAAAAACATGGCCAACAAGGAAATACATCACTGGATTTAGGACTGAAAACTCCATTTTAATGTAATCCGAAAGTACTTTGAATTTCGAAACATTCTGAGCGACACTTTGTTGATTGCCTAAGTACGCAACTTTGCTCACATTCTCTTCGCTCTCTTACAGTTTCCGAGATCAAAATGGTGAGGGTCGAATTTGGAACACCCTGTATACCTTGTCGCTTTCCCTGAATATCCAAAGTTGTAGGTAAATGTTCAAAACTAACGTGATAGCCCATAACTTCGTCAGTTTTTGTTTTAAGCGCCAAAATAAGAAAATCGTGATGTTCTCTATCGTTTGAGTTATCTAAAAAAACAAAATTCGAATTTTTATCCATAACATTAGTACTGATAGGCGACCACTGATACTAGCAGTCGACTGGTGGATGTCGAGTGAAACGAACGAATTGTCTCTGGCTTTAAGGCTATGCACTGAATTTCTTAAGCTTCCCACAAGGAATATATCATAACATATAAAATATAAATCTAATGAAAAAAGATATAGTGTTATGTCCCTATGTTCAAGTGTCTCCCAAAATAAAGTTATTTCACTGAAATTTTTATTACTTCGTATATTTTTATGCAGATAGTTTGTAATAAAATATAACATTTACATCTAATGAAGACAGATAGTGTTTTTTGATGGTCATAGTCAAGGTCATAGACATACTTTAGCATAAAGTTGCGTGCTCTTTTTTTTTCCGGTGCCAAAAATAGTGGTTTCCATTTAAGAAAACTGTCTTGACCTCCAAATGAGCTTGCAGGTCACCATTAGATGAATCCTTTCAAATCTTACAGACTAACTCCCTATCTTCTGGACATCGTCAGATACCCATGATCATGATCAAGGTCATGAGCATGGATATAATTTACCAGTTTCCCGCTCTTTACATGTCCGGTGTCAAGAATCTTTTCAAGCCTTACAACTTACAACACTTTTTCTCTAGGAAAAGTATTTTAGAGTTATTTTGATCCATCCATACTTTTTGACTATTCAGTAGGTACAAAAGTGCAGTTTTGTTTTCTGATTTTTATACCATTCTCTTGGTTTAAAGGCATTATAAAAAGATAAATATTCTGTAAACCGTAATACTATTGATAATTGCGTTAATTATGAAAGCCGTGTAAGTTCCATCTCGACATCTCATCAGCAATTTTTTTGAAATCTATAAATGAAAAATCCCCTAGCATGCTGAAGTATGGGGCATTTACCTTGAATATAATGGGTGCCTATAACCGCCGAGTTTGCTTGTGTTAACATATAAGTAATGGATATTTTATGGTAAATGTGATTTCGGACTAACGGTTTGTTGATAAGTGGCATGTATTTGCTAATTTCAAGAAGTATCATACGTGGAAAAAGTGTCGCCTGACACATTAATGAACATTCTCGTTACGCGAGAATACCGGAATGCATAAGATACAATCATCAAATTAAAATGCGAAACAAAACCCTATAACGAAAACGACTGATACCACATTTGGAACCCGACGAGACGGTTATATTGAAAGAATCCCCTTGTGATTGAGTAACCTGACTGTTTAAATATGTTTTCTACGATGTTGCTGTTGCAACCAGAACAGAAGAGGGTAGAGAAACAAATCGTACGACACTGTAAACGCAGCGTGTTTTTTAATCCAACGAGATTCGCGCGCACCGGCTTTGCCGATACAAAGACACGCTGCGCTAGCAGTAGCGTGCGACGTGTTATGCTACCATCTTCCGTTTGATATCAGAGTATACTTGAACCGTTGTTTGTGACTTGATACATATGATTCACGAATTATATTATTTAAAATTAGTAACTACAATTTGTTCGATAATACTTACACTAACTCTTTGGCTAAATTATATGTGTTTGTGTTGGGAACAAGTTTATCAAAGAAGTCGGAGTACAATGTTCTTATATGATAGTATCCTCTTAGACATTCTTTGGTCCTTTCTAGGCTCAGTTTGCAATTTAGAAGGGCAGTCCTGTATTTATTACTAGGATTTTCTGAAACAGATTCAAGATTTATAATTCATATCAAAAACAGAGGGCTGGGAAGGTAAAATATGTAGTGATTGTAATCTATTTGCTTTTATTTTTCGATAAACACACCCCAAAGAGAACAATTGTGATAAACGAGTGTACTGATCATCATTCTGTTAGCGATTCTTGGATACACATGCGAAACTAAAAAAAGAGAAGCTTGATTGAGATAAATCATGAAACACAGTAAGATAAAAATTCATATAAATAATCTCACATTGCAGAGGCAGCAAGTATACAGTATCATCATACATGAATCTCCAGCAATTGACGAATCATTTGATTATTTTTTTTGAAAGATCTCATTTTCCTGGAAATATTCTGTTCTAAATTTAAAAAAATACTTCAACAAGCATTACGGAAGTCGCCAGGCAAGTCCAAGACCAAAGTATTGCAAATGCTGCGTGGTGATGGATTGTACAATTTTGTACAAACTGACGATTTTCCTGCAAGAGTACCTTCTTGTGAGTGGTTGTTGCACCAGTTGCATTAGTTACGGACGAATCAACCTTCACGTGTTTGGGCTGATATAGAAAATGGTATGATCATTGGATCTATTATTTTCCCAAATCTGCTAGACTTTCTATAAAAAAATTTACCAATTGTGACAACTTCTAATAAGTGACAGAGCCGTACTTGAAATTTCTCTGAAAATGATCGGTGAGTACTTTTTTATTTATTTGTTTTTACTTTTTCACACATTAGCTTTGTTATTTCAAGCGTTGTTGTTTCCGAAAAGGAAAGTCCCACCTTTACGTAGGGAAATGCTAAATCCCGTATTTTGGCATTCTTATACTTTTTGATTGCACACATACATATGTGCACTTATCGGACATATCTACACATGATACTATGGTAAACATATCACTTAAAAGTATGTTTCAACTAACAAGCCTTAACAGAACTTTTCGATTATGCGTCAATCTTAACACCATGCAGTACAAGTGTATGCTCTTAGCTCGGTCCGTCGTTTAAATATTGATCTTTTAGGATTATAATAATGATAAACAAAACATTAACATAAACTAGGTGTTCACCAATACCTATCATGCTCGCGGAGGTCTACCGGAATCAAAAGTATGTAAATATGAAAACTGAGAAGATTTCACATTAGGTAACATTTTGGGTGAAACATACATGTTTTGTTGATATTTTTCTCGATTACAGTACTCCTGGTGGTTTTGCACGAAATCTATTGTTCAACATCGGTACTATCTAATGAGGAATCTAGGTCATAAAACAAAACATGCATTTACACAAGACCACGTGTATACTAATACAGGAGTAGATCCATTTTTGATGATCGTAGCCTTTCAGAGGGCCTCCTTTATCAAAAATACTTCACACATTCAATACTTCATTACAGGGGTCTAGTATTGTAAGGCATCTTTTGACAGTTATTTTGCTCACAGTTGTCTCGCTGATTCAGCTAATGTGCTGGCCGCTAAATAAAACTACATATGTATACCTTGCAAATCTTTTTCAAAGTTCAATATTCGAAAAAATGTGGGGCGGATATTTCGTAGTTGTACTTACCTTCAACTGGAAGATTTGTCTTAATAATCCATTCTTTAATTCTTTCGATGAGCTCATCAAGTTCTTCCTCTGTACAGTCCTCATGTTTCAGAACGGCCCACTTTTCATCTTCAGTAAACTCCAATAACCGCGCCCTCATTTTGCATCAACCTTTAAATTTACTTCGTATTTCGAGATTAGGATGGATTCGGTTTTCTGTTATTCAGAACGATTCCGGAGAAATGTTTCGCGACAATAAGGTTCTCAGGGTGACTGGTCGGTTTTATATCGACGCGCTGCGTCTATCAGAAGCGTCACTTGTAGTGGGCTTAACAATTAATTTAGTTCTGGACAGGAATACCTTGAGTCAACCAAGCAACAATGTGATGCTCGACAAATACTACAAAAAAAAAATAGTTTTCACTGAGCTTGAAGCTTGACATTGTATTTGATTTTTAACGTAAATTCCGATTATCCTGCAGTATTTCAAATATATTGAACTTCTCTTATACAGTCATTCTTACTCCAGACAGGGTGTAAAATTTTAAAACGTGACATTATTGTCTTGGTAAGTAAGACAAAATTTTAAGGTCATGCTAATGTTACATAATGATAAGCCGTAATTACAAGAGCGCATTCCTGAGCCAAATTCAAATATAAATGCTTATATAAAAGTGTCCTAAAAAGCCTGGTTTTCAAGATACAGGGAGTCAAAGTTTGAAAATCTTTTTTTTTATTAGATTAGATGAGATAATCCATTGACATATTTTATACTTCTACAAATGAAACAATTGGCAACAAAAACAATAAAAAAATCATCTCTGTTATCGACACTGCCATGATGATACATAGATGGTTTATTGTCTTCGGAGCACAGATATGATATAAGACTCGTCAGATATAGCTATATAAGTACATTATTATTACCAACATTTATAAATATGTTTAAGTATAAATACATCAATTTGTCAAAAAAAAAGTATTGGTTAACAGGAATCACAATTAGTGGAAAAAGAGAGGACGCATACGCGCGTGCTCGCAGATGCGCTAAACAAGCAGAGACAAAAATCAACAGAACAAGATATATAAAGATTAAGAAGTGAAATAATAAAAGATGAAAGGTGCTTAGAGAAAAGTATCAGAGCGCAAAAAAATATTTGTATATACACAGCTTTAGTCTCTTGTTTAATTTCAGGAATTAAGGTGCACTTACGGTGGAAGACACTCAGCTACTGAATAGTACATTTTTCTATTAGCAGATTTCTTAGCTCTTTCTTGAACCTATTTGGGGATCTGATATATTTTAGCATTGATGGCAACTAATTGAATACCTTGGTGCACGCGTAGGCTGGTGATTTTTCCAACATTGACAGTGTATGCGAAGGGCGCTGTTTGGTTGTAGTCTTGTAGTTCTTGTTGAAATCGTTGTTTTGCAGAAACTGGTCCCTATGATTGAAGTTGTAGAGAGCACATTTTTATAAATATATAAACACGGTAGCGTTAAGAAGTTATTGTGTTGATATTTTTCTTTACATGACGCTCTGGACGCGGTGCATCCTTGTACCCAAAGGATAGTGTTATTTATAGATCAGCGTGGATTTGAGGACGTTTGGCTTCAATTGCAATATAGCATACCAGGACCTATTCAGTTTCCTGAATACACAGATGATGTAATACTTATTAACAATAATGATCTGTTTAGATGACAGCAAAAATACATCTGCCTTGTTTATATTTTGTCAAGTAGATAGAGACATAGTACAACAAAGAGAGGTACGAGCTGTGGAAGAAGTGTGGATCTCATTTAGTACCACGCCCGAACGCTGAATATTAATTTCGCGTCTATTTATTTTTGGTATTTCCACTAACTTGTATTATTCGCATATTTTTCTGTCTATAATATCCCGTCATATGTCTATACAGGGCGTTTCTTCTTTGAACTAGAATTTCAAGGCTTTTGATTCTTCATGCCGTTTTT